GCTGGAGTTTTGCATGGTTATGCCTTAATACAGACTATAGATTCTGGAAATGAGCTAATGGTGTTCCTCTACTGAGACCAACCGTGAGAAAGTTCATTAATGATCCTGTGCAGAGCTCTGTCCTAATGGAGGCAGGAATCTGTCAGTACAGGGCTTGGATACAGCTCTGCTCATTTCCTTGGGAATTTGTGTGGTGGACCTGCTTTAGCAGATGGTGTTGTAGCAGTAGATCTTTACTCTGAGAGAATTTGGAGCCGTCAAGTAGTCAGTGAGGCAGCTCAGGGGTCTGCATTATGCGTAAGTAGTCATGATGGTTTGCTAAATCTGCTGATTGTTGTGTAAAAGAGAGAATTGCATTCTGTTTTAAATCTGGAAACCATTTTATTGTAAATATAATTCAGTTTCCAGAGCTGTCTTGCTGTTTCTGTCAAGCAGCGGTGCTGCCCTCTTGCCAACCTCCATATAACGTTTTTTGGAAGCCCTTAGGAGCCAGATGCTACAGCCCCATGTCTATAATGTGTCTATAGAGCTGTTCCATTCTCATACTGTGTGACAAATGATTTGTCACATACGTATGCAAGTGGCACAGGGCTGGTTCTGTGGGTTCATACATTTCGTGCAATAAAAATGCACTTAGGAGGTGATAGGTTCGCATCCAGAAGCATATGTGTTTTTAAGACTGGAAGAAAAATTATTGAATTCTGGGGATGTTCTTTATTGCATTTGAATAAAGAGGGGAAGGTGCCACATTACATTTCCATCTAGCCGTTGGTCACATCTCAGAACAAAGAAAGAGACCTCCATTGTCACGGAAGACCAATGAGTGTAGCAGGTAGAGGGAGAACAGGAAAAAATGGCATGACAATGGCAAGTTGAAAAGATTTAGTATGTTATATTAAGGGCTGAAAATAAATCAGGGAGATGAGAGCCTCTATGGCATGGGGTATGTGGGGGGGAAATAGAGCTTAGGAAGAGAGCAGTGGAGACCACAGAAATGGCTGTAGTCCATTTTTATTTTAACCACTTACAGGAAGGTGATGAGTCACCTCTTCCAGAGCTCTTTGATTTATTAGTGAGGTGAGTTTCCTGCTACGGAAATTAGAGCCAGAAGAACTGCCAAAAAGGGAGGAAGAGTGTGCACAGACATCTCTGTAAGCTCTGTGCTAGAGGAGGAGGCAATCCCTTTGGCTGGGGAGAGGAACAGCAGAGACACAGAAGTCAGAACAAGAGTTATGTTTGCCCTCAGGAAGATGAAAAATATAAAAATGTTGTCAATTTCAGATGCAAAAATGAACTTGAGTGAATGAAAAATTCTGACTTTTATTCTTATGGTTTGGTGAGTGCAGAAAATTTCAGTCTTGAAGCTGTAACACTCCAGTAGGTCACTGGGAGGTCATCTGTCCAATAAGTCACAGAGCTATGTTAATTTGTTCCACATTGGCCTTGAAGCCTACGATGAGGTGAAACAGAACTTTATGGAAAGTTCCTTTCTGAAGTAAAACTCAGATTTTCAGGTCCTGTCGTTTGCTTGATCCTTCTGGACCTGACAGAGAGCTTGGGAATCTTCTGGTAATAAGATGTAGAAATGCATAATGTTATTATTTTGGAATGGGCTGCCCAGGGAAGTGCTGCAGTCACTGTCCCTGGAGGTGCTGAACAAACATGTAGACATGGTACCTAATGACATGGTCTAGTGGGTGGGTGTTTGGACTAGATGGTCCTAGAGATCTTTTCCATGGCGCTGGGCACTAGCAGGCAATGGATAAAGCTCTGTTTAAAACACTGGAGTAATTAAGTGGCTGTGAATAACTTTGAAAATGGAGTCCGTGTTCACTCACCCACTTTGTCAAGCATCTTTTCCAGCTGTAGAAATTCCCAACACCTGAAGCCGGTGTTCACAGAAAACCGACAGCTGCTTAAATGTTTGTTTATGCTTGACTGGGGTTCAAACTGGTGCTGTGTGTTCCCGTATTATGGTTTCCACTCAGGGCGTAGTAAATCAGACCACGTTACTGGCCAGGCACTATTCATACTCATTAGCTTAGCTAAAACATTGACATTATCACATCAGTATTTGTTATGTGGATTTATTTTACGTTTTTTCAATTTATTCTATCTCTCTTTAATAACTCTTGAATTTCTTGTTAGCCTTAGTTTGAAACAAAGTTAATTATTTCAACTTCCAACGATGATTATTCAGCATTGAGTAAACAACTTTGGCAATACATTTGCTCACATTCCTCTGTAATAACACTCTGCCCCTATTTTATCGTTTATGGAACTGCTTTCTAATTCTTTTCATGGGTCTTTTTTAAATAGCTTTCTTATATAATAGATAATAATGTTTGTTGTTAAAATGGAAGTAAAAACCAATTAAATCTGCCTTATTGTACTTACAAAAGATTGATGTGTGTAAAGTCTAACAGCTTATTTGGGGATTTTAATCTAAGGGTGCCCTGCAATAACATTCTGTTGTGTTCTGGGAACTAGCTGTAATAGAGAAGCCACTGCCTGAAGAGATGCTGAGCTAAATTAAAGTATTGTGTGCCGGTATTCTAGCATCTGCTTCATATATTAATCTCCAGAAAAAGCTTGAAAATACCCTAAAGTAGCAGCCATTTCTTTGTTTAAGTTTGAAAGCCTTTTGTATTGGTTCTCATTAATACTGCTGTGCTGAAGATTCACAGTTCAGTAAATGAATTGAACAGAAACTTCTGCAAACCAAGAACAGACCAGTTTTCCCATTTCAGTCTCCATTTTATTTTTGCTGTTTGTAAAGGTTGAAATTCAAGCTCTAGGGACCTCGGTTTTACAATGCTTGTTTCAACACTTGCTCCTGCTAGGAGGAATCAAACTAGTCAAAATTAAATGATTGCTGCAAAGATGTAAATACCATAATGTCTGAATGATTTAGGTTTTCTTGACTTACCTTATTCCTTCTCATGAATTATATTTGCATATATGGGACTGTAAGTATATACTTGTTCTGAAAGCTACATTCTGAAAATGCTTCCTCTTCATTGTAAAGTCTCATTTTTCTCCTCCTTTTATAACACTTTCATCCAGCCCCAGGATGGGAAACAATGCCGTGTGATTTACAATTGTGTATGACATAAAGAGTTGAAGCTGTAAGAGCAGAAAGTAGTAAACAAACAGACTGTAGGCAGTAATATATTTGAATACAGTATTTTTATGCATGAATAATCCATGAGTTTATTAAAAAAGCAGTCTGTTTATAGATAATGTAGGAATGTAAGAAGGCTTTTATTCATGGAATAAGTTACCATCTCCAGCTTCAAAAATAATTGCATGAAATGAAGTAAAATAAATAATAAGAAATAGCTGTGACGTACAGACTTGCCAAACTTAGCAGTGCTATTTCAGAAAATGAAATATATATTCATTAGGAGCAGGGCTGCAAATACAGTGTGCATCTCTGAGGGTGCTGCCCAGGCTGCTGCTCTGTGCCACGTACCCAAGTTGCAGGTGAGCACCCCTGAGCACCCTCCTCCACCTGCAGCAGGGCTGGTTGGGAAGGTGACTGCTTCCAGCTCCTTGATCCATCTTCTGCCAGGACATTTTTCCCCTTTTAGAGCTGGGAAAATGCTATTTAAATTGGTGTAGGAGGTTTTGTACATTTCACTGTCTCTGCCCCAGTGAATAAGTCTGTCATCCCAAGTAAATCCTCTGTAAGAGAAAAGGGAGGTATGTCTGTATGCATCCTAACGCATGGAGATCCTCTTGGAGTCTCCTGGCAATCAGGGCAGAGAAGGCCTTCTGCTATACAGGAGAAACAACACCTATCTGTAAATCTGGCCTGAAAGAATACCTATCCTTCAGAAGTTAGAGTTATGACATTTTGGAGCATTTCTCGTCAATGTTTTCTTTAGCTAAAGACATTTTTCGTATTCGAACCAGATTATATGCATAGATTTTGGCTGATTTGAAAATGATTTTTATAGCTGGGAAGCTCATTTCCTTTTCCAAACCAAAAAATGTCCATCAACTCCTTTTCCATCTGAGCTCTTTTCTGTTTCCGATTCAAGTAACTTTTATGGTTTGTAACACGCCCTATATGACTCTCATCTCAGTTCTCACATACTTAAAAACTATACTTAGAAAAAGGGGCTCTATCAGGATAAATTAATATCTTACAGTGCTTTTAGTAAGAAAAATCCTTCACTGGTGTTAGGTAGAAATAGTAAAAGCTGGTTTTAAACTGCTTACAAAACAATAATTTGAAATGACAAATCAGAAAATAATTGAGAAGGGGAAATAACAAAGGGATTAGGAGAGTGTGGTACTGCTTCAGCCTGATGCTCCTAAGATGTATTTAATTAGGAGCCAATAAAGTAGGGTTTAAATGTACGTAAAGCAAACAGTAGAAACTTGTGAATTTGCACTCTAATAATTTGCAGATTTTATAATTCATGGAGGGGAAGAAAAGCTTTGGTAATGGTTTAAACCAGAAGCGATAGTGAACTGGCCTACCATTAATACTGAGTTTCTCTGGCAAGTATACCAGATGACAGTGGCTAGTGCATATGATTATTATAAGGGATTAACCACTGTCATATTGATAAAAATAAAGTCTAACTGACAGTGCTTTGTTTGTATTCCTACTCTTTCAGGTAGCACCCAGCGTAACTCTAAAATTTTCATAGATTTAGAGGCAAAGGAACTGAGGATAAACTTTCAGATTAATGTGAACTTTTCTAATGGGAACCCCTATAGATCAGTTCCTGTCCCATTACTGGTAGTTGTTATGCATATGCAAAATAAGTCTGATTTCCTGGCCTGCTCTGATTGAGAATTATATCTAGATCATGTTCAGTGATGCAGTTTTATTCTCTCTACCTTTAGGCTTATTTACATAAAGATGAATCAAATTTGATACTGCTGCGTAACGCTGAAATTAATATTCGACTATCATTTTTCAGCCACTTCCAACCTGTTCTCATGCTATGATCAATATTTTCTGCTGTTTTTTGTCTATCCAGCTGTATGTGAAAATCTGGAGCGAGGGTTATCCAGCCAAATTTCATCATCTGCCAGGTAATTACAGCTCTCGTAATCTTCAGCTGGGAGTCACCCATGTAGAGCCGTGGGCAGAGTAGGATTCATCCATATTTGTTCTTCTCTGGTGTATTTGTTTAACCAAACATACTTATCAGCAGCTTTCATTTTGCAGCTAGAAGGCCTGTAGCAAGGTGGAGAAGCTGGCATTTGCATTGAGATTCCAATTAAGTTGAAATTAGCATGAACCTCTGTTCGGTTGCTGATGTTTAATGTATGGCAGATGAAATGGTACTTTGATAAACGGACTCCAAGGATTGTTATGACATTTCTCGTCTGCATCCTACAACGTGATTAGACTGCCATAGTGCTGCGTGATTAATAGAGTTAGTTCTATCTGCACTGAACCTCTCTGGCACAGGAATCTCTTAGAAACAGTGTACCTCAGAAATGCTTGCATTGCATCCTATTGTCAAAATCCAACCAACCAGAAATGAGGTACGTCAGCCATGCCATGTGTTGCAGGGGTTGGCTGACTCCAGATCCTTCATTAAAAATAAATAATAAAAAAAAAAGGCTTTTCAGTATCATTTTTTGAGGAAATGTGGGTTGCTGCATTTCCATTACATCTACAGCACTGAGGCTCTCGCAAGAAATCAATACACCCTGGTGATTTAAATGCTTCTCTTTTAGATGGTCTGTGTTTCTAAAACATATCTCATGTCAGACATTTGCCAAGGCCCATTTAAGCAGAAATTGGCTTGCTTGTGTAGTAGGAACATTTTCCCTCAGAACAAAAGGGATCGGTACATCTTGTCAAGAAGTTTTGCTGTTACTTCGGTTGCAAATGGTGCTTTTTCTCTTGACCACCTTGCTTTTCTTGTTCTTCCCATCACTTTGCAGGGAAGTCTTCTCAGGGAGCAGCGAGCTGTTGACAAAGCAGAGAGGCACTGAGAAAGGCCTTAACAGCACAAGCCAAGCATTAGGAAGGGACTGTAATGTTCCCTGGCTTTTTATTTAGCTGCCAATCCATGTGGTAAATACCCTTGCTTCCATTTTCAACACTTTCTCAGCTTGGCACAGGTGGAGCTTCCCCATCCCGTGATACTTGAGCCAAGGGCATTCAGACTTCCCCTTCTGCTGGGGGGCAGGTGCTACAGCTCAGAGCACTGCTCTGTGAAAGCAGGCCACGTGGGCAGCAATTTTCCAGTCCTGGAGCTGCCTTTGGGCTTTAATTTTAAAGCATGGCTGACAAGGTGATTTATCTTTCGTGCATTTTTTTTACTTGTGCAGTTCTTCAGCCAATTTTTTTCTTTATTGCAAGTTATAATTTAATTTGTGTATCTCTGGGAAAAAAAAAAAGTTCTGATTTTCTCAGAGTAGTCAGAATTTTTTTTCAGTCTATTTTTAACCCTTTTAAATATGTATTTCCTCACTGGTAAATACCAGTTATTTAAGGTTTAGGAGTTTTGTTCTTTTGCGTGTAACTCTTTCCCCAAGGATTAAACTTGAAATAAATTACTTCATATTGTTACTCATTACATGTATTCATGGGTCTGATTCCCTGATGCTGATTTTTCAAACGTTGGTAATTAAAATGGCAGAAGCATTTTTAACACCAAAGATTGAAAGAGTGTTGGTGGGCACTCAGCTTTAGATGTAGGTTTGGCAGGTGAAATTTAAAGTTAGAATGTCTGATTTGTTGTTTTTTTTTTTATAACTTTAACTTCACTTCCAGGTGTGTTTCAAAGGAAGAATGGATTATGGAAACATTGGCGACAGATTATTGGCACATATCTCTAAAATGGGAATATGTCAGATGAAAAATTCTTTGGAGAGATGTGATGGTTGATGGCAAATCCTGCTCACCCATTTTCCATGACCATAAACTGAGAGTTATTACTGTCACTGTAGCAGCTGAAATGACTCTTCCTGCTATCATCTGATGTCTTTGGGCTTTGTCTGTACTCACTCTGAAGCCCATTCCTTATGCTGATGAATGTCTTCCTTCAGACAGCCCTCAAGCTCACTCCCATCCTAAATGTCCCTCCCTGCTTCTCTGATGCTGTTACCTTGTGAGTGATTTCTCATAATTCTTGTGAAGACACATTGCATTTTCTGTGCTGCCAGATGCAGTCCTCTGAGCCTTAGCAGGTTGAGGGCAGCCAGACACAGTTTTGCAGCTGCCTTGTGAAAATCCCAGTGGCTGGGACCTCAGTGCTGTTAGGATGTACACATCTCCAAATTCTTGGAATTCTTACAGGCCTATCCTGAGCCCCAAAATGTTCCCAAACTCCTGCAGTAGGTGCACCCTGCCTGCCTTAAAATGCATGTACTATAGTACTCTTATATCTACCTTTTCTCCAGTTCAGATTTCCTAGCTCATATGAATATAGAAGGAAAAAAAAAAAAAATGTTTAAGTCATTTTATACTCAGGTAAATACAGATCAAGCTTCATCTTAAGGTAAAAACTGCTCAAATGTTTTTCTGGATATTTGAGAGCTTTTTTGGGTATGAAGTGCTGATTCTTGTCATCCCCTCTTGCACAGCTGGGGCTGTGCAGTCTGGAGGAGAGAAGGCTCTGGGGAGACCGGAGAGTGGCCTCTCAGTACCTAAAGGGGCTGTAAGAGAGGACAGACTCTTTAGCGGGATCTGCAGGGATTGGACAAGGGGAATATTTTCAAACAAAAAGAGGAGAGATTTAGACTGGATGTAAGGAAGATTTTCTACAATCAGGGCGGTGAAGCACTGACACAGGTTGCCCAGAAAGGTGCTGCGTGCCCCATCCCTGCAGACAATGCAGGTCAGGCTGGATGGGGCTCTGAGCACCTGATCAGCTGTAGGTGTCCCCGTTCAGTGCGGGGGAGTTGGACCAGATGGCCTTGAAGGGTCCCTTCCGACTCAAACAATTCTATGATTCTGTGATTACTGATCTAGTGTCATGTTATATCATGCAATGGTTTCTACAGCCCTGGGGAATTCTGCCAGAAGATCTGAAGTTTTGCCCTGTTGGACCTGTTTAAAGGAGCTGCCTTCCATTGTAGTGGAGCAGTTGTTTCTCACAGCAGATGTTTGAGCTCTTGTCTCAGAACCGCATGAATTCACATCTGAGCCTTATCCTGACAAAGTACCTTTCAGCAGGGTCCTTTTGCTTCATGTTATTTGCCAACATGTGTGCCAATGCTGAGCAGTCTGCACAAGGGATAGATCCAGTCAGCACCCACGTCTGTGGAATCTCAGACAGATGATGGACAAGTCTCTTTCCAGAAAACTTCTAATCAGACTATGAATAATACAAAGTGTATCAAGAATGTTTGATGCAGCAGATATCTGCTTTCATTGGACCTGGAAGTTACAATTGCTTAGGTTCCATCTCTGGAACAGAGGAGGTGAAGTCTACTGCGTTCCCCTGGGGAGATTACTCTGCTTGGTGCCTCTGTTTGTGCTTGTGCTGTTAGCCTTTATTTTTATATTTACTGAATCATTCTTCCAAGGAATAGGGTTTTTTTGTTTGAGGCTTATTTTTATTAATACCTAGCCAAAGCAAATTTTGTTTTGTCTTGGGAATGAATGTATAATGCGTCTGTCCTCAGCTAGGATATAGCTCTTCCATATTTCACTCCTACTCTCATCCTAACGTCTAACTAGGAATGTAAATGTCTATTTGCTGCTCCAACCTAATTTCTGAAACACTTGTAAGGCAGTTTTTCTTATTTAGAATTTAGAATATCATTTTATTTCTGAGAGTAAAGCAAAAATGTAAGTTGAAGCTCCCATAGCATTTTGATTTCTTCTCCTGAAAGATATGGTCCAATTTTGGGAATTAGTTGGCTGCATGTCCCTGTTGATACTGGGACATAATATTCATTTATCATGTCTATAAGGTCTGTGTGTTTTGTCAGTAAAATACTCATGCAGCTGTTCCTTGAGCCTCATCTAATCCCTGAGTCCATCCATCCTGGAAATGTGTGTCAGTGTGTCACTGCTGTTGATGAAATTTTCCTTTTTCACAGTCTGTGCCTCCCCCCTATTTATCGTTTGAATTGTCTCAGATTAACTCTGTAGTCCTTACTGTCACCTCTTCTGCCTTTTTCTATCTATTTACCTGCTAGTTACGCCCTTCTCTGACTGCCTTTTCTCCCTTTGCCTGCTGCTGTATTTATTGATGTATTGCTCATTTCACCCCAGGCCATGTAATGAGTACTTTTCTTCCCTTGCTGAGGACTTGAAAAACATACTTGCATAAATATGTAGGGATAGGTTGTTTTGTGCACTTCAGGCCAAATTAGAGATGCAAATGCCATTATCTTTAACAAGGTACACATTCAGTGTATCACACAGCACTTTGGAAAAGTATGCTCCTACGTCTGATTCTCATTCAGATTACCAATTATCCCTGATTGTATTATGGCTGCTGTTGCATCAGTGCTAGTTTGTTGTTGTTTTCATCCCTCCTTTCTTTTTTAACAGCTCTTACCCTCTTTCTTGCAGGTGACCCATTTAATGGTTCTGTTATTCAGTGGTGTAATCCTCCCTGCCTCTAGTGAGCATAGAATCAATCCTCATGGCTCTGTCTGAAGTCCCATTTCCTGACTTGGGCTGCAGGGCTGTGTGCATTGTACAGCACAACAAGTAGGGTATGGGCATGCTTGCAGTTTCTGGAACTGCTGCCAAGGCAATCATCACAAGCTGTGACTAAATATTGTGTTTCTTTGGGTTCAGAAAAGCAGAATAACTTTTCCCAGCCTCACAACATGAGTTAATGTAGAAATAACATCAATGCCTCCTTTTTAAGGCATGTGAAAATACAGTGGGAGCAAAAGTCCAAATCTACAGAGTTCCGCAATGTATTTATCATGTTCTCTGAATCTTTCTTTTAGGTTTAATTATCCTTTTGTCAAATCTGCTTGGCTGCTTTCTGTAACTTTGGACTAGATCACCTCTAAAGTCTTTTCCAACTCAAGCAATTCTGTCATCTCGACTCTAGCTTTAAACATCTCAAACAGCTTCCCAATTTCTACTTATTTCACAGATATATGGCAAAAAAAGCTCTGCTACAGGTTATTAAGGCATGTTTTAAGTTTGGATATGGTGAGAATCACCGTATATGCCTAACAAAATACTTGGTTTTATGTCTTGGATATAACAATTGATTCATAAGAATAAACTAATATTTTATGTGGACTTGCTTTCAGCTCTTGGTTTGGAGCTGCCATTAATTGAGAATTGACTGCAAAGGGAAGGAGGGATGGTCTACTTAAGACACACAACTTCCTTTCCACCTGTTCCTCTGCTTTATAGGTATATGCCTTAAGTTCTAGAGATGTCATGACCAAAATAACCTCTGAATGAAAGGGGTTTTTAAAGACGAATGTTGTTAATCTCCAACTTCCTTCCCTGCATTTCTCCTTTTTCTACCACATTTGCTTCCCCATCTGACCAGCTGCACAAAACCATGCTGCTTTTCCTATTGTGCATTCCTACGGGGTAGAGGTGGCTTTTATTTTGGCATCATCAAAGTTGCTGATGGACGAG